CAGAAAGAGGGAGTGAAAGAACGAAAGACAAAAAGAGGGAGAGAAAGAGAAGGAAAGAAAGACATAAAGAGGGAGAGAAAGAGAAGGAAAGAGAAAAAAGGAAGAGGGAGAGAAAAAAAGACAGAAAAAGAGAGGAAGAAAGAGATAAAAAGAAAGAGAATGAGAGAGAGAAAAAAGAAGGAATGAAAGAAAGAAAGAGAATGAGAGAAAGAAAGAGGGAGAGAGGAAGGGAGAAAAAGGGAGAGAAAGAGAAAGAAAGAAAGAAAAAGAGAATGAATGAGAGAGAAAAAAAGAAAGAAAGAGAATGGGAGAGAGAGGAAGAAATAAAAGAAAGAAAAAGAAAATGAGAGAGAGAAAAAAAGAAGGAATGAAAGAAAGAGAAAGAAAGAGAAAGAAAGAGAATGAGAGAGAGAGACAGACAGATATGTTTTTAAAATTTAAATTAAAAAAAAAAAATAATCGATCGATTGGACTTTTACTAACCAATTTTTCAATATTTTTTCAACGTAATCATATTTAGAATTCAATTCGTGGGTTTTGCATAAAGTTTTCTTTAATATTTTTTTCGATTCATTAAAAATTTTCTCACGACGTTTATACGAATCATCGGATGAGTTTAACGAAGACACTGAAAATATAAAAGAAAAGAAAATTATTAAAAAAAAAATTAAATTCCCCCCCCTCTCTCCCTCTCTCATTACGTTCTATAATAATTTTCTTTTGTGATTCCGTAAGATTTTCCCTTTTCGAAATATGATTTTTAATTATTTCAATCATTTCCTTCCTTGTATGAATTTTTTTCAAAATGGATTCGATTGATTGAAAAGGTTGAATCGACATTTTTATAAAAAATTGTTTTAATTTTTCACCATTATCGTGATTCATGTTATGAAAATAAGGTTTTACTCCTATCGAATCGCTTTCTCTGAAAATGCACCAAAAAAAAAAAAAAAAAAGTTATTTAATCCTGTTTGTTGTTTGTTTGTTTGTTTGTTTGTTTGTTGTTAATACCTGAAAGCACAAGATGGTACATTTACGAATAAATCGATTTGCGAACGAGAAAATTTTTTAACTTGTTTCGAATTCGTTTCAATCTCGTGTAAAATATTCAAATCATTCGAATTGAAAATATTTTCCATTTCCTTTACACATTCTATTATTTTATTCCCTTGAGATTTTCTTTCAATTTTTAATAAGGATATTTTTTCACGTAGGGATCCCTAAAAAAAGGAAAATTTTTTTTACATGTCGTTCACGTTTTTCGCGGTTGGAAAAATTTGATTTTCTTATTCTTACAATTTCATTTTCATTCCCTTCGTCCCAATCGTAAATTTTTAACGTTAAATTTTCATCATTTAATTTTTTAATTTCTTTTTCTAAATATTCGCAATATGTTTTTAATTCAACGTAATTTAAATGATTTTTTATATTTTGTATGAGATTCTTATTGTGTTCTTCTCCTTCTCCTCCTTCCCCTCCTTCTTCTCTTTCTTCTGCAAAAAAATGAGACAATCGTAATCACACACACACACACAAATGTTTATTAAAATTTTTCTTTTTTCGAATGAATGACAAATAATTACCAAATGATTTCAAAATGAAATTGGATGATGAATTTTCAATCGATTGTTTACTCATCAATGTTAAATTTCTACCATTTTTTTCATGAATTTCATCTATAAATTTTTGAATTTCTATATTGAGACTTTGTCCTTCTGTTTCGTTGATCATGACTTGTAACGTTTTTTCAATTGTTAATTGTTTTAATTTCGATTTTGATACTTCGAATATTTTTTCCAATTCTTGTTTCTTCTCACTGAATTTTATCAGGGAGAAAAAAAATCAATGATTCTGTTTTATGAATAAAATTAATAGGTTGTTAATATTGCAAAACTTACTGTAGGTAATCTTTATCGACAGTTTCTGATTTTTGTATAAATTGATGTAAATCGTTTAATTGTTTTCGTTTGACATTTAATATTGTTTCCCATTCGTTACCAACAACGTTTTGTGTCTCGTGATTTTCTAATGAAATTAAATTGTCTTCTGCTTTTTTTTCCCCTCTGTTTTGTGGCTAAATAATTGAAAAGTTATTAATAATATCATTTTACAATTTGGAAAAATTAAAATTTAGGGATAAAAATTAACAATTGTTATATTTACATTTAAATTTTTCAATTTCGAAATTAATTCCTGCACATCTTCGACACATTCTTTTTGTTTTTTATTAAACATTTTCAAAACTAGTATTTTATCTGTATACTCATCGCAGTTTTTACTCAATTCTGCTATATTGCACACTGAAAAGAATAATTATTGTAAATTTCAAATAGTTATTATATATTTATTGAAGGAAATAATAATGGCACTCACAATCGAAAATTAAATCAGATGATTTTATGACAATATTTTTTTCAACATCTTTATTCAGTTTTTTTTCATCAATTATTTTTTCTTCCAATTTATTTTTTTCAACGTGTAAATTAATTTTACTCGAAATATCTTTTTTACCGTATTTTTTATGGCTATCGTGTTTATTATTATTTTTTAAATTGAAAACCAATAATTGTTTTCTCATCGATTCTACTGTTTCCCTACTTTTTACAGATTCTATAATTGTTTTCCATAATTGACGCCTATGTGGTGTAGACGTTAAACTAAAATTTTATTTCAAGTTATTATGTAATTAAAAGGTAATTAACTATTAAAAATAATATTGTTATTTATTTTAAGTAATAATTACATGGCAAAATAATTTACTGGTAAAACGAATTGGTTAGGCAATGAAAAACCTAAACTTGTCGCCCACTCTTGAATTTCTTTTTCTAATTGTTTGGCTTCCATTAATATAATTATATTAATCTTATCTTATTATACTATTAAAAAAAAAAATAAACTGTACATAAAAAATATTATTCATTAAAACGATAAATAATAAGTTCATGTAAACAAACGTATTCGCGGGTTCTTCTTACGTAAATGTTTCTACTGACACGATAATGTAACGTTCAAAAATTGAATTGTAAAAACCAAAATGGCGGACGAGTTGTTCGGATGGGATTTAACTTGTGAATTGATAGAGAAAGAATTAAGTAAAAAAGAAGATTTATTGATTGCTTTCACGCATAATATATAAAAATAAGGGTTTTCATGCATAGTTAATGAAGATTCGGTAAGTTTTGCATTTAAAAATATTGTTTTAATTAACTTTTAAAATATGCCGACAAATATTCGAGGGTTCCAATTAATTAAAAAGAAAAATTTCCACGTCTTTAAAAGAGTAGAGGATACAGTTAAACAAATAAAAGGAAATATTTAAACATCAATGCCAGATTACAAATATTTTCTTTCTGTTTTAAGGGAGAATTTAGTTGACCCTGTTTTTGTTGAAACTATCCGTTCTGCTGCTGAAACTCATTCCACTGAAAAAATTATACATCCCACTGTTGGAAGACCAGATCCCTTCTAACCTGATAGATCTGATATAAAAACTGATCCTCTTAATTTTACATTAGGAAGACCTCTTCACATTTTTAATTCTACGTAATTTAAATGATCTTTCATAGTTTGAATAAGATAATTTTTCTTACTGAATTCTTCTTATACAAAAAAATAAAATAAAAAAGTAAAACAGGAATCAATTGTTTAGCTTCCATTTAAAATTATTAAAAATAATTATATTAACCCTATCTTGATATACAATTAAAAACAGTAATAATAATATTTTTTGAAATAATAAGTTAATGTAAACAAACGTATTCGCGGGTTTCTTCTTACGTAAAAGTTTCTGTTGACACGATAATGTAACGTCCGACAGTTAAATTGTAACAACAAAAATGGCGGACGAGTTATTTGGTTGGGATTTAACTTATAGATTAATAGAAAAAGAATTAACCAAAAAAGAAGATTTATTGATTGCTTTCACGCACTGGTTTATTATAAAAAATGGATTTTCATGCATAGGTAATGGAGATTCGGTAAGTTTCGCATTTAAAAACATTTTTTTAAATTAACTTTTAAAAAATGCTGACAAATAATATTCATAAGTTCAAAAAAAAAATTTCCCTTGAAATTATTTAAAAGAAATTTTTGTTACTTTGTGTTGTTTTATTATAACGAATTGAAAATAAATTTTAGAAGTTTAATGCATATTTTAGAAAACAGTTAAAGGAAATGAAATAAAAACTGAATCTTTAAGTTCTGGTTGGAATCAAAATGAAGATTACAATATTAGATATTTGTACGGAGAGAAATTATATTTATTGAGGGCTTATGTAACTGGTGGTGATATCATTTTAAACTTTTTGGTAATTTCAAAAAAAAAAAAAAAAAAAAAAATTTTAGTCATTTAAATGTTAATTAAAACAGAAAAAGTATAAACTTGATTTAATTTTTAGAGAGCAGATGATTTATGCATATCTAGCTGTGTCTTTAAAGTAGAGGATACAGTAAAACAAATAAAAGGAAATATTCAAATATCAATGCCAGATTACAAAAATGTTATTTCGATTTTAAGGAAAGATTTAATTGAGCCTGTTTTTATTAAAACTACTCATTCTGCTGTCGAAACTCAAACCACTGAGAAAATTATACTTCCGACTGCTGGAAGACCAGATCCATTTTCGCCTGATGGATCTGATACATCAACTGATCCTCTTACTGTTCCATTAAGAAGGCCTATTCCCATGTCAGGATTAGATCCCTTATGGTTAGATATTTACTTAAATTAAATAGAATTAATTAAATTATTATAGTGAATTCAGTTATTGTATTTACTCCCAGGACTGACCCTTTGAGAGATCCAAATACAGTTGGAAGAAATGATTTAGATCCATTTTCTCCAGGGATCGGAGGTGGAATGATATTCGATCCTTTGAATCCTCGAAATGATAGAAGTTTAGACCCTATTATACCTGGTCCTAGTGTTCCTCGTGGATTACCAAGGTAGTAATTTCGAACATTATGAACTACAACTTCCTCTTTTTTCATATTTATATATTAAAGAAACTGAGTATTGATATTATGTATTAATAAATAATTTTTAGAGGTGCTGTTCCACCAGGAGCTAGGTTTGATCCTTTAGGACCACCAAATTTTGGTAGGAACGGAGGCAGAAGAATTGATCCTGATCCAGATCACCTCCCTCCTCCTGGATACGATGATATGTTCATGTGAATTTTATATTATTTTTTTATTATCAATTTATATACTTGTTTTTTTAGGTATTTCATATAAATAATTAAATAACTATGATTTATAAAACAAAAAAGTAAAGAAAATGTTGCTTTTAATTTAAATTTTAATCCGGTTTTCCCTTAATCCCTGCATTATTTTCTTACAATTATTTTTTTTCAAATAGAGATTCTGGTCCCCCAGACTCATCGTTAGATTCCCGTAATAACTCGCAGAGAGGAAGAGGAAGAGGAAGAGGAAATAATGATCAAAATCCAAATCAATTGAATTCATCTAGCTTTGATAATCGTTACATGTGATTAATGACACATGTACTGTCACATAATTTTTGTATATTCCCATCATGCGAAAATAAAATCCGTATTGCTGTTCATTTTTTCCAAGTTAAAATAATAATATTAATAATAATAATTATAATAATTGTTGTTTTAAAAAAAAAATTTAAATTTTTTATTTAGTTTTCTAATACAAAAAAAAAAAAAAAACTTAGCAAATGAATTATGATATAAAATTTATAGAATATTCTTTGCAATAAATATCTTGATATTACATCATTTATTTTAATTTTAATTGGAAAATTTTTTTTTTTTTTTTTTGTATATATGTAAAAAAATTGCCATTTTTTTCATTGAATGTTTTACTTCTAAATCCCCTCTTAATTTTTGTGCAATAAATCGACCACACCTTATAAAAACCCGAAATATACTTTATTTGTATTTAGTATCGGTGATTATAAATTTATAGTTTTAATTTTTTTTTGCAGCTGTTTTTTTTTTGTTTAAATATTTTTGGGTTGTTTTATTTTAGGTTTTAATAATAGATTTGTCAACGGTTTTGAACAATTTTTCTTATTTTTCGCAATATAATAATTATTATATCATCAGATTCAAATCCGACGACCGGTTTTTTACGAACACAATCATTCGTAAGTTAAAAATAATAATTAATAAATACATTAATAATTACATAAATTTATTTTTATATTAAAAAAAAAAAAAAAAAAACAAGTATAAAATTTTAATGACGTTACGTTAGGTTTTCGACTTTGAATTAATTAAGTTGGTACAACTGATACCGCGCAATATTTGACTAGTTGTTGTTCGAGTTGGATTTTTTTTTTTTTTTTTGGGTTTCTTTATTTCATTCGTTAAGAGTAATGGTTTTAATAATTATTCATGTTTTTCAGTTAAATAAATTTTATTTATTGTTAAAAATGTTAATCCGTGAAAATATTTTACTAATCTTTATAACATTATCAATATTTTTTCAAAATGTCGTCGATGGAATCGAGAGACCGAATATAATAATAATTTTGGCTGACGATTTGGTAAGATAAAAACAATTTAATATTATGTAATAAGATATGTCGTTACGAAAAAAAAAAAAAAAAAAAAACACATATTTATTTATTTAAATATAAAATTATTTTAATTTTAGGGATGGAACGATGTTAGCTTTCACGGGAGTAATCAAATTCAAACACCAAACATAGATGCTTTAGCTTATAATGGCATCATATTAAATTCTCATTATGTCCCTGCTTTGTGCACACCAAGTAGAGCTTCATTAATGACTGGAAAATATCCAACATCATTAGGTTTGTTAAATTCTAGATTTTTCTGTTCTCTTTTTTCTATCAAGTGGTATAACCAAGTGTCTAAAAAAATTTTAGGAATGCAACATTTAGTCATACTATCACCAGAACCTTGGGGTTTACCACTTAATGAAACACTCATGCCAGAATATTTTAATAAAAATGGTTATGCAACACATGCAGTTGGAAAATGGCACCTTGGTTTTTTCAAAAAGGAATATACTCCCATATATAGAGGATTTGATTCACATTTTGGTCATTGGAATGGATTTCAAGATTATTATGATCACACAACAATGTCAGATGTAATTTCAATTGTTTTACTTTTGATAAAATTGTCTCAAACACTTTAAAAGATAAATAAAATTATTATTAATCGGGCAAACATTTTCAAACTCAAGTACATACAACGCAATAAAATTATTATTATTATTTTTCAGTCCTTGAAAGGTTATGACATGAGAAGAAATTTTGAGGTTGATTATTCATATCAAGGTATGTACACGACCGATGTTTTCACAAAGGAAGCCATAAAAATAATAGACAATCACAATTCTCAAAAGGTATGAGTGTAAAATTAAACAAAAAATTTATTTAAAAAATTAATTAATTTAATAAATTTCATTTCAGGGACCATTATTCTTATATCTTTCACATTTGGCACCGCATTCGGGAAATCCAGATAATCCATTTCAAGCTCCAGAAGATGAAATTTCAAAACATGAATGTATAAATGATCCCGGAAGGAAAATATATGCAGCCATGGTTACAAAACTTGACGAAAGCGTGGGTCAAGTCGTGTCGGCTTTGGAAAAAAATAAAATGTTAAATAATTCTATAATAATTTTCATGTCGGATAATGGAGCTGCAACGTATGGATTACATTCGAATCGTGGCAGCAATTATCCATTGAGAGGAGTCGGTTAAAATTAAATATTTGTTATAATAATTTTACAAATTTTTTTTTTTTAAATGTAATTTATTTTTTTAGTTAAAGGAAAGTCCTTGGGAGGGTGGAGTAAGAGGCACAGCAGCTATTTGGAGTCCTTTCCTTAATAAAACTAAAAGAGTTTCGAAACAATTAATGCACATGAGTGATTGGCTTCCGACATTACTCACAGCAGCTGGTAAAGTATAAAGTAAATTTTTTTATAACAAAAAATCCATTCATTCATTCATTCTATTCTCCTTGATTGATTTATTGATTATTTCAGGATTGAATTATTCTTCTACACAACTTATAAATAAAATAGATGGAATCGATATGTGGAATGTTCTATCGAACGATTTACCATCACCGAGAAAAGAAGTTTTTAATAATTATGATGAAATTGAAAATTATTCATCTCTCATGATAGATTCGTGGAAATATGTCGAAGGTAAACAAAAACGTTTAAATTAATAAAAATGTCAGAAATTTGATTTGATTTGTTTGCGTTTTTAAGGTACTGCACAAGAAGGTAAAGCAGATTATTGGTTTGAAGAACCTTCTAGAAATAATTGTTCAGAATATAGAGTGTCGAATGTAATCAAATCGATAACGAATAAAGCGATAAGTAATTGTAACGAAGGGGAACCTGAAAATTTAAAAAAAAGCAAGTTAAGCGTTTCGAATAAAATTTTCCTTTATGAATATTAGTTTTTTATATATTAATTTAAATTAATTTTTTTAGGGGGAAATATTTCGAAGGAGGACATTTTCCGGCTGCGACGTGATTCGACAATTATTTGCGATAATCCGACATTTTCATCATCATTATCAATCACGAGGAATAATCACACGGATGTGAAAAATAAAACAAAATGTAATTATATTACTTTTAATGATTTTTTACGGGATTTTATAAAGAAATATAAAATAATTAAAGAATTGGAAAATATATATAAGAGGTATTCGTTCGAAGGGAAAAATTTAAATATTCAAAATTTATTTAAATATAAAAAACTCGAAGATGTTTTGACGTGCGATCCGTTGTTAAAACGTTTTTGCTTATTTAATTTAAATGATGATCCGTGTGAAAGATTAAATTTAGCTGATGTTTTCCCTGATGTCGTTAAACGTATTAAAAATCGTTTATTAGAATTGAAAAAATCTGTTGTTAAACCGTTAAATAAACCCGAAGATCCATATTCAAATCCTATGTTTTATAATGGGACTTGGGTTAATTGGAAAGATGATATTAAACCGAATGAAATTTAAATTTTCCTCACCCCCACCCCACCCCCTCCCTTCTTCTTTTTCTATTGTTTTTAATAATAAAGTTTGTTTTAAACCACAAATAAATTTTTTATCAATAATTAGTGTTTGTTCGTTTCTTTCTCTTTCTAACAACCTCATTATAAAACATGTAGCAAAACCGTTAAAAAAAATTCAAATACTTTAATATTTATTATGAAATTAATAATTGTTGTGGTAGGAAGTGAAAGAATTAAACTATTATTAAAAAAATTGTTTTTTTTTTTTTTTTTTTGAAGGTATTTGACACGCCTTAACAGAAAGTTGTTAAATTGTTCAGAATTACAGACCTTGCTCTACAACTAATTTATCCCTTCGGCAAGGATAACCGCCAAATCTCTCATTTCCTATTGGATTTCAAATATCGTGTAATTAGAAAATGACGTCACATTAACTAAGAAACGTGGTGGACTAGAATATTGGTGCATGTGAAGTGACAGGAAAAAAAAAGAAAAATTAATTGAAGTTTTATAGTTTTTTTTGTGTTTTTTTTTTTTTTTTTTTGAAATCGATTTTTAAAGTAAAAAAAAAAAAAAAAAAACAATGGCTGAAAACGGTGAATTGTTGGAAAAAATTAAAGCACAAGGTGACATTGTTCGACAACTTAAAACATCTAAAGCACCCAAGCACGAGGTAATTTTATAATTTTTTAAAATTATTTTAAATTTTATAGACTGACAAAAATAAAAAAAAAAAAGCAACTCTTTGGAAAATTGACTTAAAATAACTATATATATAAATATTCGAGTAAAGATTTAATATTAAGCGCTGTGTGGGATGCTCCTGAGATTTAAATTCTTCTTTAATCAAAATCCTGTAGGTGCTTGGTCTAGGGCTTTTTGTCAACCTGCTAAATTTGTAAGTAATTCTTGTGAAACTTTACTCAGTCAATTATTAAATGAATGAAATCCATAAGCATACATTTTATTATTCAAACTACTTTTTAAACTTTTATTAAACTTTTTTATGTAATTCATGATAATCATAAATTCCAAGTAAAAAATTTTTTTTTTCAGATCGATGCAGAAGTTTCGAAATTATTGGAATTAAAAGCTCAATTGGGTGATCCAGCACCGAAAAAATTCATACTTAAAACTGCTAAAGGAACCAAAGATTATGGACCACAGCAAATGGCACTTAGATTAAATATATTAGACAAAGTAATCTCCATTTTCAAACTTCACGGTGCTGAAACGATCGACACACCTGTATTCGAATTAAAGGTAACTATTATTAACTATTATCTCTTGACTTACTTTTCGATACACTCATTAAAATTTCTTTCTCTTTTCCTTCAGGATGTTTTAACTGGTAAATATGGCGAAGATTCAAAACTCATTTACGATTTGGCCGATCAAGGCGGTGAGAAATTATCACTTCGATACGATTTGACTGTACCATTTGCTAGATATTTGGCTATGAACAAAATAGTCAACATCAAAAGGTATCAAATAGCTAAAGTTTATAGAAGAGATAATCCTGCTTTAACCAGAGGAAGATATAGGGAATTTGTTCAATGTGTTAGTATACTCTTTCACATTATCCCATTTATTACGTTTAAATTTTTTTTTTTTGTTTTATTTCATTATTATTATTACTATTATTATTATATAAATTTACAGGATTTTGATATATCTGGGATTTACGATCCGATGGTTCCAGATGCTGAATGTTTAAAAATAATAACTGAAATATTAGATTCGATTAATATTGGCAAATATGTGATTAAAGTAAATCATCGTCAAATATTGGATGGTTTGTTTGAAACATGTGGAGTACCAAATGATAAATTCAAAACAGTTTGTTCATCAGTCGATAAATTAGATAAGGTTTGTCATTTTTTTTTTTAAATTTAAATTCAATTGTAATATTTTTATTTTATTATGATTGCACAATCAGGTTTGAATGTTACACAAGAGAGAACACAACCAATCTTTTCTTTCCTTTCCCTTTTTAACTAACCTACTTTAAACCAAATTTGTGTGTTCTGTCTCTTTTGTCATTTTTTTTTTTTTTGTTTGTGACATTCGAAATAAAATATTGGGTTGGCCAGTAGTAAGTAATTACGAATTTTACCAATAGATAGCATGACATGTGTTATGCACGACACCTTATCTTATGAAAAGACACTTAAACATGGGGGGAGTCAAAGCGAGCATTTCTTCCACATTTTCCTTTTTTATTTTTGAAAGGGTTTTAATGCTTCACAAGCCAATAAAATGTTGGGGGTCGTGTAGGGGGATGAAACCTTAATAGAACAGCAGTGTCAAAATCGGTTTGCAAAATTCCATTCAGGAGGTTTTTTTGAGCGCTCTGGGGGTTCGGTGGAGGTCGATGATGACTAAATAAAGGCCATAATTGTTAATGATGGGCATAGTTCGACAGGGACATTGTAGGGAACCTAAATGTGTCAGATACGTGCATCGAAAACCGTCTGCGGGGTCTTGGGTACCAAAAGAAACTTGATACATAATTTTGGGGAGTGGGAGTTAACTAGATGACTTGGTCTTTGCGATATCCCTCTTAAACACAATTCGAATGACCCTTTTTTGAAGGAATAAGGTCCCCGGAGATGAAAAGTGGGTTGTCTATGACAAAATTTTGAGGAAAAGATCCTGGTCTAGGCAAGGGAAACAGACAGAAACAACTTCTAAGACTGACATTCACCAAAAAAAGGTATTGTTATCATTTTGGGGGGATTACAAAGGCATAGTAGTCTACTTTGAGCTGCTGCTCCCACAAAGTCAGGCCATACATTCGACAATTGACTAATTTAAATGATACCATCCAAGAAAAACAACCGGATCTAGCCAATAGAAAAGAAATTGTCTTTCACCACGATAATCCCAGGCCCCCAGACACATCTTTAGCCACTGGACAAAAACTACTGGAGCTAGGCCCTAGGATGTTTAGCCTCACCCTCTTCTTATAACCCCGACCTAGACCTGGCAAAAAAAAGGTTATTGATGATAGATAAAAATAATTTAACATAATTCGTAATTACTTTTTTTACCAACCAACCCAATATTTATTTATATGGTAATTATTATATTAATTCTCCATTTTTTTCGTTTTAGATGTCTTGGGAAGAAGTTAGAAAGGAAATAATAGAAGAAAAAGGTGTCGATTCAAGTGTCGCTGATAAGATAGGACAATACACGTTATTTTCAGGGGGTTCGGAATTAGTTGAAAAACTAATGAAAGATGAAAATCTTTGCAAATCGAAATCGAGCGTGTCAGGATTGGAGGGGATGAAATTATTTCTCAAATATTGTCATCTCTACGGAATCGGGGATAAAGTCGTTTTCGATTTGAGTTTGGCAAGAGGTTTGGATTATTACACTGGAGTCATATTCGAAGCCGTACTATTGGGTGAGTGTTTTGATAAAATTTTATTCCAGGTACGATAGATGAATGAAGTAACTTATGTGTGTCCCTTTCGATTTCAGATCAATCCGTTTTGGATGAAAATGGGGAACCTGCGGGTGTCGGATCCGTTGCCGGAGGAGGACGTTACGATAAATTGGTCACAATGTTCGATCCGTCGAAAAAAACGGATACGCCGTGCGTGGGAGTGAGCATCGGAATCGAAAGAATATTTGCCGTTATGGAAGCCAAATTGGCAGAAAATAAAGAAACTGTACGAACGACAGAGGTACGTCCAAATCCCCCCTCCCCCCAACCCCAACCCCAAACCGAACGGATTTCAAACAAATATTGATGTAAATTTTCCATTTTTACAGGTAGAAGTTTTTGTCGCTTCTGCTCATAACGGATTACTAGAAGAAAAAATAAAAGTTTGCAAAGAATTATGGGATGGAAAAATTAAGGTAATTTAATAATACATAAATGAATCTATTTATTAATTAATTAATTTATTTAAAACGTAATAATAATAATAATAATAATATTGTTAATAATGTTGATTCTCTTGGTTTTTGACCAACAGGCAGAACAATTTTATAGGCAAAAAATAAAACTTCTCGATCAGTTGCAGTATTGCGAAGAAAGGAAAATTCCATTGGCCGTCATTTTGGGGGGATCGGAAATCGAAAGGGGAGTCGTTAAAATACGAAACGTCGTCACGAGAGAAGAAACCGAGGTGAGTACTACTACTTGAACACATAATAATAATAACAACTCAATTTTCCAATTGGGTATTTTTTATTTTTTTTCTCTTTTTCTCTTTCTCTCTCTCTTCAAACAGGTACCTCGTTCAGAATTCGTTAATGTATTAAAATTAAAATTAAAAGAACATTCCAATTAATTATTTTTAATTAAACTCTCTAAAAATAATTGGAATGTTCTTTTAAAGGAAAAAAAAAAAAAAAACTTTTTTTTTAATATATATATATTTATATATATTAATTTAAATTCAAATAGCATAAAATTATTATTAATTTTTTTTTTTTTTATTCATAATTATTAAAAAAAACATTATTATTATTATTATTATTATTATTATTATTATTATTACTTATATTATTATTATTTTTTGCTAATTTGACTGTAGTAAGAATACTTTTCAAGAACGAAGTCTTTAACTTTGGGTGTCGCGGTCGTGGGGGTGGTTGTAGCAGCAGCAGCAGCAGTAGTAGAAGAGGAGGGAGGAGTAGTGGCGGCAGCAACAGCATCAGTACTCGGAGAACACTCGGGGAATCCAACATCGTCGTCATCATCATCATCATCATCATCATCTTTATGGGTAGGATCAGAGAAATTGTTTCTAAATGAGGTTTTACAACAGGAGTCGTCAGTAATTAATTCTCAGTGTTGTTTGCTCTCGTTGACGACGGATTTAGATTTTGGAACGGCGCCGACGATTCTGACACGTGTCACCATTTTACCATCGCTGAACTGGGGGGGCGGAGGAGCCAAGACTTCCATTTCGGGATTGTTTGCTGCGACGTTGAGAAATTCCGGCGGCGGGGGAACGACCGGGGGTGCGACCATTCCATTCTCACCGGCATCATCCACGGAAACTTCACCTATCGGAGGGGGTAGACTCGCGAGACTCACCGGATTCCTGGCGGCGGTTCCGTTCGTTATCAACTTGAGAGTTTTCTGCTTGTTCATGTGCGTCTTGTTACTTATCCTAATGGAGTTTTGACGTTGAAACGATGGTGGTGGTGGTGGTGCCGACGACGACGACGAGGACAAGTCTTCTAATCCTTGTGATCCACATGGGGGAACTTCTTGATCGGATGAGACTCCACTCGAAGAATTATCGCCATCTCCGTCGGGATTTTGGACTACGATGAAGTCGTTCGGATAAGACTTGGAACTCTTCAACTTGGTTCGGACCTTTTGGATTTCTTCGACGCTGAAACTGTGAGCAATCGTAGAACTGGTAGAACTCGAAGTGCTGGAATTGGAGTTTCCACTCGTCTCTTTCTCCACCAACTGATTGGAATTCCCGTTGTTGCCGATGCTGCTGCTGTTGTTGTTGTTGTTGCTGCTGCTCCCGTTGCCCCCGTTGTTGTTGTTGTTCGTGTTCGTGGTGGTGGTGTTGTTGTTGTTGCTGCTGTTGCTGTTGTTCATTATTGTCAAATTAACCATGTTGTTTTGCGAAACGTTTTCTTCTTCGTCGGACTCTGATAATGAATAATCCGGTTCTGGTATCGGTGGAGGATTCGTCAAGTGACTTACGGCTAATGAATGTCTCTTGGTCGGTCCGCCCCCCTGAAACCGAAACGTGTGACACTTATTAATACCAACAAAAAAAGAAATTTTCATTTTTTCAATAAAAAAAAAAAAAATAAAAGAAAACGATACGAACCGAAATTGAACTTTGACTCCTTGACGGTTGCCTTATGGGTTGAGCATATTGTATGGAATCGTTGACTTTATCTCCCACTCCTACTCCTCCTCCTCCTCCTCCTTCCAGTGAAATTCCTGATTTAGGAGGCGATCTCAAACTGTGACATTTTCTCACCTGAAAAATTGAATTAAATTAATTAAATTAATTAATTGACGATTAAAAGAAAGAAATCGAATTATAAACTCGCTCACCGGTGGACGAGACCTAAAACCGACAGTTTTTACATCTTCTGGTGATGCGTATAATTTCGCATTGTCAGACGGCCTGAACGAAGACATTATTTCTCCTCCATCTCCTCCTCCTCCTACTCCTACTCCCCCTATTCCTCCTATTCCTCCATCTTTGTTTTTATTATTCGATTTAGCAGCAACGTATTCACCTTTGGAGACTAATATTCCACCCTGATCCGGAATCGATAATCTCGTTTCAACTTTGACGATCTGATAAAAAAAAAAAAAACATTTCGATTAATCGCGTCGTATCGGATGGGGGAGGAGGAGGAAGGGTAGGGTAAGGGGGGAGAAACGTGCATACCTGTCCCAAAGAAGGTACGGGTGGGGGCGGATGACTCGGTGGCAAAGGCCTAAATAACGATCCAAGATCTTCTTGACTCCTGTGAGGTTTATTTTGCATGACGTCATTGGCAAGAGGAAGGAGTATGCCGTTGGCGAGATCCGGAGTCGAATGAAAATCTCGATGCATTTCCGCCATGTTACTCTTCGATGATGAACCGCTTCCGAAAAATCGAACTTTTTGACTTCCCTAAAACGAAATAATAATAATAATAATGATGATGATGATGATGATGATGATGATGATGATGATGATGAAATTTCCTTTTTTTTTTTGGTTTTTGGGGGGGTGGAAAGAGGGAAGGTGTACCTTGCTTTTGCTCCTTTTCATTTCGGCTACGCTCGCATACACTCTCGGAGTTTTCGCCGGTGATCCCGGACCGCTGCTGCTGCTGCTGCAGATATTTTGAAAATTCGAAATCGTCATTAATCCGGAGGACGTTGTTGTCGATGTGTTGAGACCTTTTTGCCTTTGAAATAATTCTTCCAATTCCGTCGCCGTTATTCTCGACGAAATCGGTCTCGAACGAACGGATGCCGTTCGGGGTTGACAATTTGTACTATTTCCTGCGGGCGGGAAAAATTTTAAAATTTAATTATTACGTGCCCAAAAGAAAAATGATGATGATGATGATGATGATGATGATTTTTACCAGATTCATGATGGTGAACGGATTCCACGCTTGAACAAACCAAATTATTATTATTATTTTCAATTTCTTCTTCGTCGTTGACTGTCGCGACCATGGATTTGGCTCTTGCTCTTCCCACGCTCAGAGTAGTTTTCGGATCTCTCCTCGGTGGTAACGGAGCGATCGACCTACCTAAAAAAAAAAGACAACAACAACAAAAATTAAAAAGATGGAAAAAGAGAGAGAGAGAGAGAGAAAACGACGATTTTTATTTGGGGGAAGAAAAAAAAAATTGCAAACCTAGCGTGTTGGTTAAAGGTCCGTTTGTAAGTTTTCGAGGTAGCGTCGCGTAACCTCGTCCCGGAGGACCACCGGAAATATTCGCCGTGGATTTAGAAACTGGTAAACCCGTGGGCGAACTCACGGAAACGACCGTCATTTGAACTAAATCCCCAGATTTTCGTATTAATTCCACGACTTTTTCGTGACTCGCAGCTGACACGTCTTCACCGTTTATCTGAAAGAAATATGAAAAAGTTAGTTTTTTACGGATGGTATTTCTTTTAAGCAGAAGACTTTTATAAAATTCTCGGTAAACTCACGGCTAAGAGATAATCTCCCTTTTGTAATCCGGCCATGTCGGCGACTCCTCCTTTATCTACATCGTCCAAATACTGTAAACCGGGACATCGATCGTTAGGCGTGAGTTCCATGAGGGGACTCGATGCTTTGGCACCACGCAAAACAAAACCGAATCCTTTTCTCGCTCTGTGAAGGACAACCGTACGAGGTTCGGCTGGCAAACTGGAAAAAAAAAAAAAAAAAAAATTTTTTTCAATAAAAATCTTCCGTAACAAACAAACAAAGGAACAAGCAAAACAAACAAACTCACATTTTTTTGAGTCTCGGAGCCGTGGCAAAATGTTTTTGTATTTCTCGCCTTCCTTGAACTCTCGAACTCGATGCCGACCTTTGAGGTCCACCGATCGTACCATTTCCGTCATTATTTTGACTTCCTATTATCGTAAATGGAATGGTAGGATTTGGCGTTCGCAACCTGACTTCTTGAACGCAATGAGCGGGAAATAAACCGAGGGGTTGATTTCTATGGTTTCCCTCTAGATAACCATCGTCTGTCGCTCCAGTAACTATAAAATAGCAAACAAACAACAGCATTTAGAATCGACAAACGGCAAACGACACAAAAAAGCAAGGAAAAAAAAAGGCGGGAGGGAGGGGATTGCCTAATCACCTTCCAATATGTCTCCTTGAGCTATGCTCAAATGACCCGGAATATTCGAACTGTAACTTTCCGTGCAGACGACGGTCGTGCCGGGTAACGTTATTGATGGATTCGTTGTGTCGCTGTTTGATGTACCCACTCCTGAACTATCCGAAATTATGTCGCTCGTATCTCCCAAAGATTTATCTGGAAAAACAAAAAAAAAACTCATTTGAATAATAACATTATTAGTAATAATAACGGCCTCTCTCCAGAACGAGCGCGATAATTTAACAACGATAATAATAATAATAATAATAATAATAAAAACTTACTCGTGATTCCCATTGAGTATTCCTTACTTACGTGCAAAAGCCCTTTTTTTTTTTTTTTTTTCTCAAAAGTTGGCATTATTGTCGTATGAGGATTTCGAGTTTTAATAAGCGTAAATAAAATCATTATTATTATTATTATCGATACGTGATGGAGAGTTAATTTATCGATCGATAATTCTAGAAAATTTTAAAAGGAAAAAACGAAAAAAAACTTAAATGCGTCACGAGAAAATATTTTACCAATTAATCAGCGAATGAATGAATGATTGATCGGTCGGTCGGTCGAATGAATCCGCAAAGGAATAAACGGGAACTTTGAGGCGGGGGGGGGAAGAAAAAGCAGAAGATAATATTAATAATAATAACGTTGTTATGAAAAATTTTTTTTGTTTTTTTTTTAAGGCGTCGCTCGCGATTATTTATTATTAAATTAAATTAAATTATTCAGTTTTTGAAATCTCTCCAGAACTTTTCCTCTCGCAAAAAAAAAAAAAAAAGGGAAAAGGGTTTCCTTCCAGAAATTTGCATTAAAAATTAATCTCTTAGAAGAGTGAGAGGGAGTGGGAGGGAGGGGGATAAAAAAAATTAAAAGAAAACTCGATAAATCTCGCGAGATGGAGTCGGAGAAGGAGAAGAATAAACAAACAAACGAAAAATTAAAATATACGACGGCGACAAAATCTTCGATGAAACGATTTCCCACCCTCCCCTCCCCTTCCCCCCAAAAAAAAAATAATAATAATAAATAAATAAAAAAAGAAAGATGGCGTCTTTTTTTTTTTTTTTTGTTTCCTTACCTGTGTTATTGCTTATGTAACTCGCGGAATTGCTACCTCCGCTCGCCGAGCTTGTTTCGCTCAAGCTCGAACTTGCCGAACTGAAAGGACATAAACTCCTGAGGGATAGCGAGGGCGAGGGCAACCGACCTGGTGTTGTTTCGACTCGTTGCTCTCCGCAGAAACTCTTCCTGCTCCCACGTCGTCCCGGTTTGTAACGCGGGGGCTCGCGGAAAGGGACTATAAAAATGAAAAATTAAATGGGTGAAAGCATTCCCAAAAAAAAAAAACATAACAAAACAAAACAAAAATAACAAAATTTCTCATTGAACAATCGTTTGTTGTTGTTCAAATAACATAACAATCAAAAACAAACAAACAAACAAAAAAAAAATTACAAATGATGAGATGTTGTTGATGTGTTCATGTTTCATGCAAAAGAAAAGAAAATGCAAAAAAAAAAACGGTTTTTCAAAACGGAAGTCGACGACGACGACGACGAGAGAGGAAATAAAAAAAAAACATTCATTATTATTATTATTAATGAAAACAAACAAACATGCGGCAAACTTACCCCTAAAAAGAAATAAAAAAATAAAAAACACGTGACGACGACGACGACGTCAATTTTTTTTAATTAACGTTGAACTGGAAAAATTTAAATATCGAATGTTTTTTTTAAAAAAATATATCGACTTACCGGAAATCGTCATCATTTTAACCGAGAAAAACCAACAAAGGTTCGTCCGACAATCGCCGGTTTGTTTCATTACAACAACAACAACAAAAAGAAATTTGTTTTAATTTATTTGACACCCAGAGAATTTTTGGCAAAGAACTAAAAGAATCGCCATAAAATTCAAAAACCGACGACGTCACCCCCCCCCCAACATCTTTCTCTCTCTCTCTTTCTTTTTAAACTTTGGGGGAGGCCATCGACTTCGACAAAAGGGGTCGAACGACAATTATTATTTTTTACAAGAAAAGATGCACGTGTTACGAAAAAAAAAAAAAAAAAACGTCGAAGTGGGAGAATTAAAAAAAAAAAAGCGCGAAATTATGAAATTCAAAAAAAAAATGGCGGGAACTCGGACCGCCTTCTAATAAAAAAAAAATTAACCGTTAATTTTCATTACGTCACCGGAAATCATCGTTTAATTAAATTTTTGATGAGAGTCGGTCGTTCTTTTTTTTTTTTTTTTTTTTGCAAGAATGAATTGGTTCAAATTTATTTGGGTTGGATGGGAGGCGGGAGGTGGGGGGTCGGGGGAAGGAATGGGATAAAACAGGAGGAAACGGAAGCGGGAAAGGAAAAGGGTCAAAAAGGGATCGTTAGAAACAAATTGGATACGATTTCACGACGATAAATTAATAAAAATTTGACTCGGGTTTTTTTTTTTTTTTTTTTTTACGCGTGGAATTAATTTCGTACCGGATGTTGGGTTTTGACAATTTATATTTGACGTGTAAGAGAGAGAGAGAGAGAGAGAGAGAGAGAGAGATGTTAAACATATTTTTCCAGTAATAGATTTAAGAAGAAAGAAGTAAACGACCCGTTTGTTAGAATGCCACAAACACAACAACCACAAAGACAACAGCAGTATCAGTACCAGCAGCATTACTACGCTAAGTTCAGACAGAGCGACAGAGAATTGACAAGTTTTGTCTTTTATTCCCACAAAGTCCTCACACGCACACACACACACACGCAATTGTGCTTCTTTTTTTTTATCCAGCATCATTTGTCGTTTAAAAATGTAAAAACTCACCGACTTCTTCGGGCCTGTGCGATTGTATGATATCAGCGAGTTCGAGGTTTCCAGCTATGACGGCAACTTGATAAGGCGTTTGATTGGCATAATTCAAAGCTTCCTTGTCGCAACCCCTAAACGAACAAAAACAAAAAGTTAAAAATTAAACATTCATTTTTACCCCCTTTTCAAATTTTCCCTTAAAAATTCGACCCCCTACCTGAAGAGAAGAAGCCTCGCGCAACTTTCCTGATTGTTGACGGCGCAAACGTGTAGGGGCGTGTTACCGGATGCGTTTCTCACGTTCATGTCCGCCCCGTAAAAAAGTATGTGTTCGAGATGTGTGACCAAACCGTTCCGACAAGCCTGATGTGCTTCTCTCCAACCTTGCAAATCTTGAGCACCGATCGCGGCGTGATCGTGGAGCAAAGTTTCGCACAGCATCGGATTCGATTTGTTCGTCACGCAAAGGTACAACGGCGTTAATCTGCAAAAAAAATTCAAAAGGTCGAGAATTCAAACGCAGGTCACACAAGTCACACAATAAGGAAATGAATCGTTATTTCGACTTCACCGGATGAAATGGATGAATGGGGAGGAAGAGGGAGCGGGGGGCAAAAGGTCATCAAATAATCAAACGGTCAATTCTCTCTCCCTCTCTCTCACACGCACAAATCCCAGAGACAAATCATCTTTTCTCATTAAATGATTAATTTTGATTATTTGACACACGCACACGCACGCACGCACGCACAAAGTTCTCACACTCGGTGATTGTGAGTGAGAAAAATTTAACGATTCCCGTTTGAAACAATTTGCGTCAATCAGTCAGTCAATCAATCAATCAATCAGTCAACCGTGCAAATTTTTTGTTGTTTTTGTTGTTTGGCGACTTACCCTTTGGCATCTTTGTAATTTGGACTCGCACCGAGTTCCAACAGCGTCGTGAGTGCTTCCAGAGAATTATGATCCACAGCTCGATGCAATGCTGTTGCACCGTCTTTGGTTCTGTAATCTAAAAGAGCTCCGCCGTTGACCAAAGCTATGAGAACTTTTTCCGGTTTTTTAATTCCGGAAGCTAGAGTGAGCGGCGTTTCTGAAAATTTTAAAAACGGAAATGACGACGACAACAGTTAATGATAATAATAATAATAATAATCGACGATCGTCGATCAACTCACCACCGGTTTCGGCGCAATGAAAATTCGGATCGAAACCTTTCGAACACATTTTCGTGATCTTTTCGACTTGAGCGTTGTTGACGTAGTCTAAAAATCTCCTGTAATTTGCTCTCGTGTGCAGGGATTTAAGGGATTTCTCGTCGACGTTAAGCATTTTATAAACTCTTTTTTTGTACTTCAATTCCAAATATCCCACGGGACCGTTGAACGGATAATCTCCCAACCTTCTTTCTTCGTCTAGGAATTTCCCAGCTTTTCCATTTTGCGGCGGACAAAAGAGTCCGTAATTAAACGATTCTTTCAATTCCTGGAAGAAAAAAAATTCCATCGTTTTACATTATTATTATTATTATCATTAAAATTTTAGCTCCCCCCCCCAAAAAAAAAAGCTATCGTGCAAGCAGCAAAAAAAAAAAACAAAAAAAAAACAAAAAATGATTTAAAGAGATAATTTTTTTATTCTTTTGAATGCGGGTAATAGGAATGCGGGGGGGGGGGGGGAGAAAACACCAGAAAAACGAGAAAATAATGGTAATAATAATAATAATAAATGATCGTGGAACTAACCAATTCTCGACGGGGAGGAAAGGGGAAAGCGGAGGAGAGGGCGACGAATTTTTAAATCGCCGAATCATCGATTAATCCGACATTAAAATTTTAACACAACAGATACAAATGAGAAAATAAAAAGAACATTTTTTTGTTCTTGGAATGTTCGAGAAAAAAAAAAACAAAAAAAAATTCTAAACTACTCAAAGCAACAACAACAACAACAAAAAACATTCAAATTTTGCTAATCATGCTCTCTATCTCTATCTCTTTCTATTTCTACGGTTATACGTTTCGTTCGCGACAGCAAAATTTTCAGTCTCGATTTTTGCTACTGCCATTATTGTAATTTTTGCAGTAGTTAACTGTCGCCTACAAATTAACAATTCTCATGCTTACGATTATTTATTTTTGTAACGTACCCTGTACCACATGGCGACCTGCGTGATGTCAACGAATCAAAAAAAAAAAAGAAAACTGCGGTTAGTGTGTGTGTGTGCGTGTCACAAAAAAACAATTAAAAATTACGCAATTATTATTATTAATAAGCATTTTGCCAAAAAAAAAAAAAAAAAAAAAAAAAAAATGGTGCTCACTCAAAAACAACAAAAACCAATCGGGATTTTTTTTTGACGCATCCGACGTCATATTGAATATAAATCATTATTATTATTATTATCCTCATCATCTTGATCGTAATAAAATAGATGATGAACGGGGAGGGAGGGGGAGAAAGGGGGGGGAAGAAAAACTAATTAAAAAAACCTATTATTATCTTTTAAATAATTCAAAACGTTTCCTTTTTTCTTTTACAAAATGTCCGCAACGCGCGCTGCGAACGTTTCTTCCTTTTCGCCATAGAGTAAAAAAATTAAAATAAATAAAGAAACGCGACGCGACCAAACTCTCACGTGACCTCTGCTGCTACCGTCCCTCGTCGTAACGGACGATAATTCAAATATTATTAAGTAAAAAAATAAAAAAAAAAAAATTTCGCAATGTCTTTTGTTCGAGTCTGATTGTGACTCGTGTTATCAATCAGATAATTAATGATGTGATGAAACCAACCTGTCGTTTTATTTAAAAAAAATTATTATCATTATTATTTTTTATTGACTATTAATTTTTAATCCCTAAAGGGATTTCGTCATTTTTCTTACGTCGTCGTCGTCGCCGCCATATTTTTCCACCTTTTTTTTCTTCTTCTTACACTTCTAATAAAAATCGTTATTGAAAGAAATGTGGTTTAAACGACGACTACAACGATTATTATTATTATTACTACTACTACTACTAAAACGTTTTTTCATCATCTTGTTAAATTCGACTACAATTATTATTAACAAGGAAATAGTTTCAAAAAAAAAAAAAAAAAAAACCGCCAAAAATTACAAATCGATAATACGTTTTGCACGCGTTGCCAACTTTAGCCCAAAAAAAAAAAAAAAAACCCATCGAGTATATATCTAACGAATCCCGCTCGTTTTTCATTTTGTTATTATTTATTTATTTACAATTTACTAAAACGCGTGTTTGATTTTTCATTTCATAGAGTAGTAAAAAAACAAAAACCCGGGAAATTACAATCGTGCTAATCATTCTCCCATTCGCTTTTAATTAATAATAATAATAATAATAAAACAAATTGTAAACAAATAAATGGAGCGTAAATCATCTCCTCCTTCTTCTTCTTCCACGTTCATTATCCTAATTTTTTTTTTTTTTTTGGTATTTTTAGGCTTTATTAATTAATTTTTCCAGTAAAAATTTTATAAATTATGGATTTTCAAAATAATAATAATAATAATAATTATTATTTAACTCCTTTTGTTTCGAATTATTTTTTTTTGAGTAGTAATGACTCAACTGTCTCATCATCATCATCGTCATCATCATCATCGTCGTAATCTTTTTAATTAATTAACCGCCGTTTAACGACCCCCCCCCCCAAAAAAAAAAAAAAACAAAAAAAGGAAAAAAGGAAAACAAACAAACCTTCGGTAAAGCCGCCAAACATTGTTGTTTGACATCCCAAACGAGTTGATCCCTTGGAAATTGTAAACATTTTTGCACGTTCAATTCCGGCACGTGAATCCTGACAAGGAGGTAACCATCTTCTGGTCCCACGTCCGTTAAAACGGGATCATCCTCCATTTTCATTTTCCTAACCTTCTTCTATTTAATACTTTTTTTTTTGTTGACCCTTTTTTTTTTTTTAACAAACTTTCTAATTTACGTCATCTGCAAAAAAAAAAAAAGAAAAAGGGAAAATTAAATCGTGGCAACGCTGTCGTAGAAGAGGAGGGGGCGGAGAGGAACAAAAAAGTTTATAATTAACCTTTTCCCTAATAAATAAAAAATTTGCAAGTTCGGCAATGGCGACGACATCTTAGGCATCACCTACCTAATAATTAATTATTAATTTTTGTTTTTTTTTTTTTTAACGTGATTAAAATCATCGATTAGTGTAGTATATTAGAAATTTTTTTTTTAAAAACGGAAGTTAAAACTTTGTTTCAACAGGTGTACCAACAACAACAACAACAACAAAAGACAAAATAATGGGGGTGGGAGTGGGAGAAGGTAACACGAGTCGAAAAAAAAAAGTTGGCGTCACACTTGAATAAAAAAAAAAAAAAAAAAATTATTCGCCCTCGTGTAATTAGAATCTTTTTCGAAACTTTTCCGCTTGTTTGTACTTCTCCCCTCCCCCTCCTACTCCCTTTCTTCTCTCTCTCTCTCTCTCTCTCACACGGGACAATTCGCAATTTTATTTATATTTACGTCTCTCCTTCCCCCGATCTCCCGATTCTCTTTATTTCTTTTACGTCTCGCGTGAAAAAAAAAAAAACCGTTCGCTTCCCCCTCTCCCTTCTCTCTTCCCTCTCCCTCCCCTCTTCTCCTCGTCCGTTTTGCATATTTTTTTTTTATACCATTAAATCGTTCGAATTTTTTTACTTTCGATTATAATTACAAATATCCCCGAGGCTGTGTACCTGGGTGTTGTCTACCTTTCCCCCTTTTCCCCTTCCCCCCCGTTATTTGTTTTTACTATCGAACATAATAATAATAATAATCAATGTATTTATGTAATAATATACCTCGCACGTTTAACAACATATCGACCGACATCTTTTAAAATTTCCTTTCTAAAAATCGAACCAAATTTTAAATTTAAATTAAAAATCATATAATCGTCGTCCTTTTCCATTTCCACTCACTCCCCCGCACCCATTTAATATTTATTATTTACTCTATGATTCGGCCTGTTTTCGATAATAATAATAATAATAATAATAATGATGATGATGATGATTTAAAATTTTCAAAACTTTTTATTCTCACCAGATGCGATACTATAATTTTCTTATTTTTTTTTCCCAGTTGCGTTATTATTATTATTATTATTTTATTGTACAACAACAACAACAACACAAGTCTCAACGTCAAGGCTTAATGAAAATTTCACAACCGTAAATCAAACGGAAAAGAAAAAAAAAAAAGAAAAATTCGCGTGTCCGGGGGCGAATTTCGTGACGGTTTTTTTCCTCTAATGCGAACTAATTTATTTATAAGCAAGTGGCAAAACAATACATTTTTTTTTTTTTTTTCCTTCTGCTATTAAACGACATCATCATCATCATTATCATCATCAAACATTCATTTCGTACGCGAAAAATACAATAATAATAATAATAATAATAAAGACAAATCAAACAAATTTCTGCTTACACGAATAAACTCATTTACGACCGTGCAGTCAAATCGATCCTCTCCCCCCCCTCTCTCTCTCTTACATTTTCCCTCACCTTTTTACTCTCTCTCTCTCTCTCTCTCTCTCTCTCTTTTATAAAATGTAATTAAAAACTCGACAATAATATGTTTGACGGTGTCAAACAAATTAATGCGTAACCGAAAAATTAGTTAGCGTGGGAAATATTTTGCCTTGTTCGAAAAAAAATCGCCTCGTTCTTTTACTCCCCCGAAAACCGTTTCCCCCGCTCCCCTCTCTCTCGTTTTTGGAGGTTAACGTTTTTTTTTTTTTTTTTTTTCTTAAAGCCAAACCTCACGCACCGATTATTATTATTATTATTTTAAAAAACAATCGGAAACCGTTGAAAATAAATAAAACGAACGAAGGAATGATAACGTCCAACGCGGTCACCGATCAATCGTTGAAAAAATCCGCGTTACAGTGTTGCCAAATAAGGTTCCCGTTGCTCCAAAAAAAAAAAAAAAAAAAAAACAAATTCTTCTTACACGTGAAAACGTCATCATCGCGAAAAAAAAAAAAAAAATTCCAGATCAAAGTTGAACAAGTTGATGTGATTATATCGATGACATAAACATTAACAAGTTTATAATTTCATCATAATCGTTTCATTATTATTGTTATTATTATTATTATTATTATTTTCTTTCACGTTATTCGATTACAATTTGCATTGTTATAGAATTTTTTTTTTTTTTTCAGCAATAATTATTTGGATCGTTGACCGCCCGCCATTTTTTTTTTTTTTTTTTTTTTAGCCTTTTCTTACCTACGCTTCGAATCAAACGTTGAGTTCGTTTTATTTTTAAAATAAAAAAAATTTTGTCATAGATTGTGATTTATTATTTTATTTACTCTATGACGAAAACGATTTCAGGTGAGATAATACTAATAATAATAATAATAATTTCGAAAAAGCGGAAGAATCGTTTTAACGCCGAAAGCAACCGTAACGGTTGGAAAAAATAAAAAAAATAAAAACGCGCGCGCGCGTCACGCTTGCGTGTTGTAAAACCATTTTTATTAATTTACTTTTTTTTTTTTTTTTTTTTTTTTTGGAAACTTTCGAACGAACGGAAAATAAACCTGAACCTGAAAAACAAATCTGTTTAAACCCATAATAATGATAATAATAGAAAAAACCGAAACGTTCGCTCGCTCGTTCGTTCGTTCCAACAGCATCTCAGACATAGAGTAATCAAAACAATCAAATTTGGCGGCAAAACAACGATTTCCGGTTTCCTTCGTTACGGCCACGGGAGGGGTAGCTCACGAAATAAAATATAAATAAAAACAAAATGGCGGACGTTTCCTTCTCGAAAGGGAAAACGGAAAAAATTAATTTTTTTTTTTTTTTTTGCTTTTCTATTACTCTATGGATTTCGTCCGTTGTATCGAGACCGTTAGAGAGAGTTAAAGAGAGAAAGAGAGAGAGAGAGAGAGAGAGAGTCAAACTTATTGAAAACTATAAACTTTTTTTTTTTTCTTTTTAGAAAGAGTAATAATAAATAAATAAAAATTTGGCCTCAATGATTCGTGTCAAAAAAATAATTGGCAGTACTTTTTTTTTTTTTTTTAGAAAAAAAAGGTGTTAAATACCTGTACGATTTTTAATTTTTAAATTACTCTCTCGGATCGTTGTAATTTTCGAAAGACTCGCAATAAAAAAACTTTCTCGTCTTTTTCAATCCCTACAAAAAAAAAAAAAAAAAAAAATAGAAAAAGAAAAAGAGAAAAAATCGTTTCCGAGTTCAAACCGGTTAATTAAAAGGAAAGAAAATTAAAAAAAAAAAAATAATAATAATAATAATAAAAATGATTAGACGGGTGACTTACACACACGCGGACGTGGAAATAGAAACACATTCGAGACTCGTCATCGTCGTCGTTTTACCTTTCTAAAAAAATTTCGCACGTATCGATAATCGATCGTCGTCGATATTCTCGAAAACTCTATTCTCCCCTCCCCTCCGAAAAAAATAACCGTTACTATTTGTGTAATTACACCGGGGGGGGAAGTGGAAGGGGGGAGGAAAAAAAAAATAAACAAAATTTATGAGATTTCGACATGCGGCGCGTTATTATAATTTCTAATTTGTGTGCCGCGCGCGCACCTCCGCTTTCTTTCATTTCGTCTACCTGTACCTAACGAGCCAAATTATTATTAGAGAAATTTGAGAGAGAAAAAATTTTTTTCCCTTTCCAGCGTAAATGGTAATTCATTTGAAAACTCACCGCCATCGCGTTTTCTAATTCCACGTCAGAAAAAAAAAAAAAAAAAAAAACAAATCAGACCAAAGTACGCAACCCAAAGTCGCACCGACCATTCATTCAATGCCGATGAGAATTCACGTGAATATAAAAATATACATGATGCGAGATGATGACGATGACGATGACAACAACCACAACAACAACAACCGAGCGAAAAAAAAAAAAATAATAATAATAATAAACGAGCTTTTAAAACGTGCAAATTTTATTTTGAGGGCGTGAAATGTGCGTTTGTGTTTGTATGCTTCGTCGTTAACGTTTGTTCCATTGTCGAACCGATAAAAATGCCGACAATGACAAAGTGCAATAACAAACAACAAACAATCAAACTAATAAAATTTCGGTTTTGTTTACTTTTCTCTTTCTTTCTTTTCCAAATAGGTTGTCGCAATCGATATTAACGACTACAAACGCGATTACAAATAATCCAACAACAACACCAACAAGGTTACCTACGCCCTCAGATTCGATACAATTACCTCAAAGAGAGAGAGAGAGAGAGAGAGATTTTAAATCGCGTTTGTACGTTTGTTGTCGTCGTACCGTTTTTTTTTTTTTTTCTTTCTCAACCATCCGAATCGCGCGAATGATGATAGACCGCGATCACAACATCACCGGTTACAAAGGTAAAAAAAAAAAAAAAGAAAATTATGGAGATGAAAACGACGACACCCGGTTGTTGTTGTTGTTATCGCTTATTATTATTATTATTCCTCCAGCGTGTGAGTGTGTGTGGAAAATATATTTCATCCAGTCACATCATCCACTTAACCTTTGATTTATTATTTCGAAGCCGCCAAAGTTTGAGTGAGTTTTCCTTTTTCGTACGGGTACAATCACTTACCTCCGATCGGGTACCTGATCGCGTTATTTCCACTCCCACGTTTAACCATTATTAAAATATCGTATTCGCGAAAACCAAAAACAATTGCCAACCTGATCCGACCCTCGATTTTGTAAAGTTTCTTACCAACTATCGAAAAAAAAAAAAAAAAAAAAAATTTAAAGCGAACCCGGGGGGGGGCCGGCCGTACAAACAAATTTTTTTCTTTCTTTCTTTACTGCTAAACAAACGCGGGAAAAAAAATGCGTGTGCGTGCGTTGGGAG